GTTTAATTCACACTTCTATCCAGGTACCTAACAGACAGTAGAAATTTCAACTGTAAATATAATTAAAATAAAAGTTTCAGCTTTCCCAGAGCACTATAAAAGTCTGGTTTGCACAATGCTACCAGCTACAGTTAACAAGGCATGAAATGTGTGACGATATGATGAACTTCTGTACTGTGCTTGAAGAGGTAAAACTTGACAGAATCTAAAAATCCACTGAACAATGTTTTTCCTCACTTGTACTGGGCTGTGTTGAGAAAGCCAAGAGGAAATACTCCTAACAGCTGATGGAAATGGCCAGGTGCAGTGCTGGCCAAGCCTGTGTTTCAGCACCAAGTACATCTTGCCTCTCCTCCATACTGTGGTAACAACACCCTGCCAGACCACTGCGGTTATCCTACAGCAATCCTTTGATGAACTTGTAGGATAACCCTGCACCCCTCCACTCAGCATCCTCAGGTGTGGGGCTTGCAGACATGAGTAGAGAGAGGCCCCTAATGATACCTGGAGTTTATAAATTGACATCAAAGCCACAGTACACTAACCAGCTTTGGAGAGGAGCAGCATACAAAAGATTTTTGTAAATCTGCAGTAAATGGCCAATGTATTACTCAGGTTTGTAATATTTTTATTGCATCTCTAACAGCTGGATGCAGTCCCCCTTAACTGTAAACCCATTTCACCTCTTGCTGAGGGAAACCCTTCATAGCCATCTACGTCTGTTTGCTGCACTGTGTTGTGTGCAGTCCAATCAGCAGCTAAGGTTTAATTGCAAAATAATTTGGTTTTCTGCATGACTCATACAATCAATATAAGGACAAACTTGGCTGTAAATAATTTCTGTCAGGCCTTATCATGCCTACATACATCCACATTTTTTTCTCTTTCATGAACCAGACAATTAGAATAACTTTAGATAAATTACCTGAACCACTGACTCATGCAAACCAAACCACTTAATTCTGTCGCTCCCATAGAAAATACAGCTTTAGCTCTATTCAATCTCTCTTTAGCTGTAGTCAAGCTGCAGCATTCAATCTCTTTTTGCTCTTTGAAGTGATCGCTAATACCACAAAATTATTTGTACTTCGGCTAGAAACCACTTCCTGTAATTATTGAATAATTATCAACCACATTTATATTAGGGAGTGTAATGATATCCGACGATCATCTATACTAAAGCAATGAGCAATAATGAAGGTCCCACTGGAGAAGGTTATGCTAGGTATCATAATCTGGAAGACATTCTTGTATCTGCTGACCATGTACAGAATCACAAACAAGCCCCTGAAAACATAATTGTGTCTTACTATGTTTTACAGTGTTTTTATCAGGCTACTTTGAAAAACTGGCAAGTTAAGTTTCTCTGTCATCGTGCACTGATATAAGCTGTATTTCCCTGCCTGCAGTTTTGCATTTTACCACCTGGCTGATGCGCTGCACCCAAGTGAAAAGCCAGCCGCTGGTGGCTCTATGACTTGCCAAACCAAACACTATTTTAGTACAAAGACGGAGCTGAACAGCTAATTCAGTCACTAAGAGATCATACGACATCATTGGCCCAACGCTCTAAATGAAGCTCTTGGATTAAAATAACACTTCTGCAGTGCATTTCACCTTTGAAGTGCTTTACAAATGAGACTCCCCTGACAACACAGAGAATGACAGTAAAATATTTGCATTGTGACAACCGTATTTAAAAATGTATATTGTCAAGTGCAGCTGAATGTTTTATGACGTGTACAGAGGATCAGCTTTTATTCATGGATTTATATGAAAAAGGCAACTGCAAGGCAAACACTTTCATAGTCAGGAATTTCTGTTCTCTGCTAAATAAAAAGTACTTAGAAGGTGAGGCACTAAAGAGAATAAATGCCAACTGAAAAACAATCACATATACTCACAAGTGAGGAGAAAGGTTATTAAAAGGAAAAACTATGACTCCGTCAAATACTTTCAAGCAACTGATGGATGATCTGCAAATTACATTCTACAATGACAATTTAAGAAGAAAAAAGTTCCCTGCATGTTCTATTTCACACATATAAAAACATTAATTGATAGCCTGGGACAGCATGCTCTGTGAATTACAAAAATCCAGAGAATAATCTGAAAAGGTTGGTTGGATAATTATTTGCCTGACTTGCAAACACAATTGTCCAAACCATGTAAGGAAACTGGACGTCACACATGCAAGGCAGCACCTAGATTTTCAAGGCTGCATGGACATACAATTTGTAATAAGGACTAAGCAAAGAGGAAAGACTTATCACACACATAAAAGCATAAATCCTAGCAGTGCAGGAAGGCCTAGTGAAATGGTGTAAAATATATAAACACCATGATAACCAGAAAAAATGAAAGAAAGTAAGGGGGTGGGGTCACAAAACAAACCCCAAAGGACTGAAATCCAGCACCAAAGACAGACCTTTGGCATTCACAGGAACACTAACAGTCTTCAAACACCAGGACTGTATACATGGACAATTCCATTCCTGGGACACCAAAGAACAGCAGGGATAATGCAAGCTCTCCACACCTTGCCAGCATTCTCCCTTTAGGTCCCTTACTAAACTAAGGTCCCCATTGGCTTTACAGCTGCTCCTGGAATCAGCTACACCTTACTAGCTGCCTTTATCTTTTCCCTAATGAAGCCATATCCATACTACGGCATATCTGGAAATCAGTATCACTTTCAATACCTGCAGCCTGCACAGCCGTGAATGTGCTCAGAAAAGCCGAGCTGGCACAGCGGTCCCTTAGGAGTGAATTTTAAAGTGTCACCACAATTAATGAGAATGCAGCCAAAGTTTCGCTTTGCTAAAGTCAGCACTGGCACGCACTTACCGTAAAACGTGTTTCCAGTTCATTGATGCCATCTGCTGGATACTTCTCCTTGTGGGCCAACCTCCATCACTAGTTCAGTTTCACCTGAAGAAAGTAGTCTTTTCCACCTTCTTTGGTTTATTATTATAAGTGCACTGGATGATTTAACTTAAACATACCAAAAGAATGGTTTGGCCATTTAGAAAAACACTCTACCTGCCAGTACCTCCTAAGGCTGTAACCTTGCATTACTGACTCTCACTGTCCTGAGGGAGAATTTTGGACTACAAGCTATAGCTACTAAAGCAGGGTAAGGCAGAGCTGAGTCACTCAAGTCTGCAATACTCCCATCAGCTGCTATCAAATAACTGGCTACCTTCTTTTCTCTTTAGTGCCTAAAATAACGACTCTGGGTCAACCCAAAACCGCACACCTGCTAACAGAGAAAATTGTATGGAGGGGTCAGAAATGATGTAAGGGAACACCTGTATCTCCTTGAAGGCCCAACACACTTGATTTGCTACAAGCACCAGCTGGCAGTTAGAGCAGCAATTGCCACGGCCACCATAGCCACATTTCACCTAAAAGTAGCTGAGGTATTCACTCAGAAATAAGAAAAACCTTGAACTCTTTCCTGAGGCATAGGCTTGAATTAAAACTGCAACCAGCCAGAAAACAAGGTTAAAAATCTGTAGTTGTAGCCAGCGTATCTGTACACATGTCCAGCAGTAGAGGCATACAAACCATTGGACTTTTACCTAAAAGAAACCTGGGGAAATGCCAGGGCTAAACAGAACACTAGCACAGCTTTTGAGACTTACAGCCACCAGCTGACATACAGCGTATGTAATACAAGTGCTTGTGTTGAGGTATTAGATCTTCACTGTCAAAGACAGCATTCTCCTACGGCTTTGCTGAGCTTTAGACGTAAGGTTACTAACACTGCATAAACAACCACGTAAGTTACAATGCTGTAATTCATAAATAACAATGCACTGGTGAGACCCTGCTCAGGTGGACTGATGATCAGAAGTTCAGCATCACTAACCCCATTAAAACTACTTCAACAACACAGAAGCCAAGTGGGGATTTTCCTCCACATTCACACAGTTTGAAGAAGAGATGCTACACAATAGGCAAGTATTAATCACTTTATAAAAATATATTCATCTCATGCTCTGATTGTTTATAAGAACAATGACTGTAGATTAACATTTGGCCAACTGAATTCTCTGTCCACACTGTTTTGGAAAATAGGTTAAAAAGATTTAATGTTTTAAAACAAAGTCATAACAAGCAGGTGTTTCCATGGAACAACAACACATTAACCCAAGCAGGCAAAAGTCCCAGAGCAGCCTTATAGTGAGACAGTCCGTAGGTTTTTTTAAGGACGTAAGGGGTCAGCAAATCAAGACATTAAAAAAAAATTACAGTCAAGTCCACCAAGTGATGGAGGCATGGTTCCAGGGACTGATGTCGAAACAGCAACATCACCTACGGACAATTCTGACATGAATGTGGCACATATATGTGGATTTAGAAAGAGAAAGGAGGTTACAGAGAGTTGGGGGTTGTTCTTTTCTCCCAAGCGACAAGTGAAACAGACAAGTTGTGCCAGGGGAGGTTTAGATTGAATACGAGGAAAAAATTTCTTCACAGAAAGGGTTACTGGGCTTTGGCATGGGCTGCCCAGGCAGGTGGTGGAGTCACCACCCCTGGAAGTATGGTGTGGATGAGGGGCATGGTTTAGTGGTGGTATTAGCAGTATCAGGTTAGAAGTTGGACGTGATCTTAAAGGCCTTTTCCAACCTAAAAGATTCTATGATTGTTCAGGAAAGTTAGCAGACATTAAAACTCACCACTCTAACTAACAGCATCTTTTGCGATTCCCAAAGTAGTAAATGACTGATATGGCTGTGACTCCAAAAGCTTTTCTTCAATACCAAAGCAACCTTTAAAGAGCCCTCCTTTCTCCCCTGTCAACTTGTTGCTACTGAGCTAACAGTACATATGCTATCTAAGACAAAGGATACATTTAATAATTCCAGGAGGCCTGCTAAAACCAACTAAATAGCATTACAGCTGAATCACAGTCTATATATTAGAGAGAAACCTTTATCAAACAGCAATTACAGTGCAAATAAAAACAACAGAAATGCGGAATTTTTCATCTCAAGCTTTTTCCATGAGTGGAAAATAAGACCAAGGAAACTACAATATGTGCCTGACTTTATTACTTTAATAAGCAATGCAAATATTCCAATCTTGATGCTTTACCAACAGTATGAAGCTAATGTTTTCCTGAACAAATAAATAACTGCAATAACCAAAATAAGAAAGCTTTCATTAAATAGGTGGAACCCAAGACAGGAAAGTAACAAAAAGAGTGGCGGAATTTTTTTAAATGTAATTGGAACATGTTATCAAAACATTTACTAAAACAAGGAAAATTTGTATCGTATATTTAGAACACCTTTAACTGTCCTCAGCCTCAAGATTTATGTTATTTCCGAACTTTGCATAGAGCTGAACTTTCAGGTCGGATAACACCCTCTGAATTGATTCCACTCGGGTTTCTAATGCTTCAATTTCTTCTTGTAAACTTTTCTGAAAAAAGAAAAAAAAAATCATATAGTTATGCAAAACAACAAAGTCATGTTTGTCAGAAACTCATAAACAGGTACTCCTTTGCCAAGTCAGGCTGGAAGACTTATTCATAAACCAAACATGAACTTTAGAAAGTAAAAGGTTCAAAGGGTGAGCAGGTCATCCCACCGAACACTCATCACACTACAACAGCCAGTACAGTAAAGGAGCTCCCTTTTGCCCAGACAAACCTTTGCCTCCTCCAGCATCTCTTGTGTTTCTTCTTGGGAATGACTAATGAAGACATCTCCAATTTGGTAGGGTATCAGAAGTGAATCACCATCATCAAGCATCATGAGGTCATCACAAGCATCTTCCAAATTCTGAAGTTGTTTCTATTTATCAAGACATAAGAAAGGTGGTCACTTTGTATGAGGTTACAGAACAGTTCCAGAGCGATAATTAAGCATAAATATTAAAATCAATGGAGCTGTACCTATAGAAAATAGTGGTCAATACTTATTATATATTATTAATGGCAGATAATTAATAATTAACTATCAAGACAAGACAATAACATTAGCCATTTTTTTTCTGTTCTCTAGCGAAATTAAAAAATATTCTGTGTAAAAGCATCTCAGATATTAGTGAAATTTTAATTACTTTATTGCAAAAGTAGGATTGCCTGGAGTCCCAGCACCTTACGCCATTAATGGAACATCAACATAAAAAGGCAACATTTTTACAATATACCTATCAGGCAAAGTAATTATAGAAAACTTTTTGTGACAGCATTAGCATTTTTTAAAAACCTCAGTGAAACTTCTTTGGAAATGCAATGACTCAGGTTGAAGAACAGTTAATTAATACTAAAAAAGAAAATTTGATGATGTATCCTCTTCAGCCCAGCAAAAGAAAACTTCGGCGCTCATAATGACAATCTCTGTTCATATTTATTTTTTGCTTGAGCCAGTAAGGCAGTTGTTCATTATGTTCTTCTTTCAAGGTGTTGACGATCTCAGGCAGGAAATTTAAAGACTACCAACAGCCATTATATACAGACAATGCTTCATGTATGACAACCAAGAAGTTGTAAGAACTGCATGCACAAATACAGTAGTTCTCGTTACAGTTATTTCTCATTACTTCTTTTTCCACTTTAATATTCTCTGGCTATTTTCAAAGTATCAGAAATCCCATATTAGAACCAAGGCATTACTTACAGTAATCCACAGCCCCTATTTTCTGTGTTACAGCTGAAAATTAATTCAGGGCAAGAAGAGTAAGTGGTATTTGAAGCAAGTATACCTTTTTCACTTCTATTTCTTCTTTCAGCTCTGTGATCCTGCTAGTATTTCTTGCAAATTTGTTAATTTTCTGTTGATCTTCAAAAGTAACATTAACATCTTCTGCGGCCTGCAAGAAGAGGTCAAAATGAAGGCTTCATTTCTTCCATTAACTTGAATCTCACCACAAGATCACTCCTACAAAGCTTCTGAAAAATAGTCTTACAGCCACCACATTCTGCTTACACCTTTGATTCCTTAGAAAACCTCCTCAGGGACATCAGCAATACCCACGCTTAGCTGGGCAGAGGGCCTCTTCACATCCAATTAAAACACCAGCTACCCACGGCATCCTAATGCCAAGGGTTGTTTCCTTGACAGCACGGACCGTCAAACCAGACACCTCTGCTCCAAGATCACTGCTGGATACATAGAATCACAGAATGGTTTGGGTGGGAAGGGACCTTAAAGATCATCTAGTTCCACCCCCCCTGCCATGGGCAGGGACACCTTCCACCAGACCAGGTTGCTCAAAGCCACATCCAGCCTGGCCTTGAAGACAGCCAGGGATGGGGCATCCACAACATCTCTGGGCAACCTGTTCCAGTGCCTCACCACCCTCTCTGTGAAGAATTTCTTCCTGATATCTAATCTAACCCTCCCTGTTTTCAATTTGTACCCGTTACCCCTTGTCCTATCACTACAGGCCCTTGTAAAAAGTCCTCTCCCAGCACCCTTGTAGGCCCCCTTCAGATACTGGAACGCTGCAATGAGGTCTCCTCGGAGCCTCCTCTTCTCCAGGCTGAACAAGCCCAATTCTTGCAGCCTTTCACCATAGCAGAGGTCCTCCAGCCCTCTGAGCATCTTCGTGGTCTCCTCTGGACTCGCTCCAAGTGGTCAATATCCTTCTGATATTGGGGGTTCCACAGCTGGATGCAGCACTCCAGGTGGGGTCTCACCAGAGCAGAGTAGAGGGGCAGAATCACCTCCCTCGACCTGCTGGCCACACTTCTCTAGATACAGCCCAACATGGGGATATGATCCGCCAACAACATCATTTTATGCTCAATGGCGAGCTGTGATGTACTACGGTGCTAGAGGAGATTTTAAGAGCGGAACCGTGTCTCACGCAGACTCTTGCTGTGGAGGTGGTGGCAGGAGCTGCGGCAGGTGACCCGCTGCTGGACACGGGCTGGGTGTCCCCCATTCACAGCCAGCCTGGGCAGCCAGAGTTTCTGCCAGTTTACAGCAAGCCGCACCAGCACAGGCTCCGTAACGTCACTGTAACCAAAGCCCCACTGCACGTTTCATGGCTTAATAAGCGATTTCGATAGAGCCAAGATAACAAGGCCAAGACCTTAACCCACCGACAAGCGACCAGCGTTGTTTTCCGCAGGGTCTGTCTGGAGCTGGCCTGACCCGGCAGCGGCCTAAGGAGAGGGACCCCCGCCCTCCGGCCCCGCAGAGGGGTGCGTGAGCCGGGAGCAGGCGCTCAGGGAGGCACCGCGGGG